TCCCCTTTCAGAGGTCCAATCCAACACATTTGCTCGAAGTCTTCCAGTGCATGATGGGATGGGGTAAATATCCTATTTTCCGCCCAGGAAATAAACTCTGTAAGCTGCGATGGGTTTGTGATAAGATTTTCGTTTGCATATCCTGCCCTGTTGTTTTAATCTCTCTGATAACCATCTTCTCATTACAGGCAGTAAATTGAAAACAACTGAATTTACAGGGACCTGCAGAAATGTGTTGCCGAGGAGCATGTAGAACGTAAGTGACCCAAACACCCAGCGGAGTGAATGTTTTCTCACGGCCGTGACAGAATTCAGACATTTCGCACAAAAGAACGGTTGTGCGCCTTGTGCTTACACCTCTATGAGGAGGTCCAGGTGTGTGATTCTAACCTGAAGCTATACCCCGTCATTTCCTCTCATCCATGCAATTTCACTCCTTCATGTTGGACGTATATTTTTCCTAAACCTCCTCCCATCCTTTAACTCCTCCACTCAGTGTCAACATGTGGCCTTGCCGTTAGCTCAGTGTCATGCTATGTTTGGAATAGCATATTCTTACTATTCCAGTTTATTATGTTAATGTTAAAGGGTTACTCCACTTTTTTTTGGAAACAGGCTCATTTTACCACTCCCCCAGAGTTAAACATTTGAGTTTTACCGTTTTCGAATCCATTCAGCTGATTCTCTGATATATAGAAGAATATCAGCTGAATACATTCAAAAACGGTAAAAACCCAACTGTTTAACTCTGGGGGAGTAGTAAAATGAGCCTATTTCCAAAAAAAGTTGAGTATCCCTTTAAGTTTTCTGTATGAATGATGGATGAGCTACTATATTTGCCAAAATATGCAGGACAGTCATGTTTACATTCAAGTTGCACATTTAATTTATGTGAAAAGTTAATTAGCAAAGGTTTGCACCCTCTGCGTTCATGTGAACAAAATAGTCACTTCAAGAGAAATTTGGTGCAAAATGGCAATGAAAGTTCCTTTATAAAATAAATCACTTGCTATTTAGAGTGGACAAACAAAATGCTCTGATGCACTTGATGAGGTTTGTCGTTTTGGGTGGTAAAAGTCTTGGCATTCAGTTTTCTTTTGAATTTATTTGTTAAATGTGGTTCCATTGTAGTTTATGTAAGCCTTCTTACAGAATATGTTTGCATTTATGCACTTTTTTGGAATCTAATCCTCATTTTTATGCAATATCCCAATTTGCATGAAGGTATGTGAATGGAAACCTGACTAATGCTGTATTATTTGTCATGTTCAGAATAACATACTATTCATTCTACTCATAGACTAGTATGTACTGTGTGCACTACATGGAAATTGTGTGCGTGGAATACCCAGATTTGAATCTGATTCCATTGCAGAATGTTTTTTAATGTACACAAAGCAAATTTGATCCATATCCATCCAGAATCATTATGCAAGATCCCAATTTGCACAAACATACGTGAATGGAAACCTCTAACCTGATTACTACTATTCTACTTCCTTACAGATTTGATAAAATATGTAGCATGCAGCGGAACACACACCCTGCTCAGGGACTACAGATGCAAATTAGATATCTAACTCTGGCACAACATTTGTGCCTGTTAAATAAATGAAATAAACTAAACTTAACTCAACTAAACTGTACTAAAAAGTAGACAACTGAGCTTATGAGGTGACAACAGCAGGCAGTATTTCCAGTAAAATCTGCCATCAGTGAGTGGTAAATTAGTATCTCATTTAGAACAGAACACTCTCTTTTACACGTTTGTTTGCTTAAATAGACCTTATGTAGCCCCGCCCCTTTTCAGCGCTGCACTCGTTATTTGACTTCCGGTCTGTATTTTGACAGCGATCTTGCATAGAATGAACTGCTCGTAAAAAAATTCCCGGTCGACATTTGTTAAGACATCTGCTTTACAATGCTTATGATAAACATTACAATGCTCAGGATAACTTTTGTTAACTCTACAATAAGTAAATCCACTTCACCAGCTAATTACTCATCGACAGCGATGCCATAGAAATATACAGAGCAACCGCGAAACCGGAAGTTTAAAGACAATATTCTAAAGATGACGACGCCCACGTTTCTCTGGTGCATATGGTCTATAGCAGACTTAACAAATCTGAGCCATTATAACATTTCTTCCTTATAGTGTGTTGTAATAGGGCAACCCTGCGCTATGGTTTAAATCTATGTTTACATGAATGGCTGCCATTTTTCTTTGTAGGCTGGGGGCAAATGAGTTTGACGCTTGGTATGGGGGCCGGCTCCTGTTTGCAGACTCAGACTGAAGATAATATTAGGGCAGGTTGGAAAGTGCTGTGGTGTTTGACTTGGTGGCTGGGGACCATTTAATCGTTAAGAGTCTTTATCAGAACATGAGTTCTGAAGTCTACTTAGACACTGCTAGCATTATATTAGCAATGTTTCTCAAGTGCACTCTGAACTATGGAGCTATAACCAGTCCCCTGATGTTTTTGCATGCTAAAAAGGAACTAATCATCTATGTGTTTAAACAGAACCAAACAAATAAAGATCCTGGCTAACACACTAACACTGGTTCTTTTCCCAGTATACACACATGCTTTGTTTGTCATAGCAGGCCACTGTTTCTCATTCTTTTTTTTTAAGGATCGCTTTGTCTCCATCCCCTTCTTGTTCTCTTTCATCGTTATTTGCCGCAGTAGAAGGATAATTATAGCTTTCGGGAAATGATGCCTCTGGAAAGGCTCCTTTGGGAAAGAATCAGGCTGTAAAATGATTCTTGCCTGCTGTGTAACTGCAATGTGCTATGTGGAGAAACTAAGTGTGATGTAAACAAGTTCTTTCAGCTTTCTCTGAATGTCAGTCTAAAATGGTGAGATGCTTCCATGTTCCCTATTCATCTCTCCAGGACGTTCAGTGTGGAATAGACTCCAAACTCACTGGCATGTAAACAAAAGGCTGTTTCGCCCATAATACTCAAATATTTCCAGTTCATCTTAACTTCACAGTGTAATGCAGTGTGAAATTTCATTTTTTGTTTCATCTTAGATCCAAGGCATTGAGGCATTTCTGGTGTGTATGGAAAAGCATGCGTGAGAGCTTCAGAAACATAGCTCTGGGCCCGACTGGTTTACATTAGAGTTGTTTATTGCATGTAAATTATCCAGAACTGATGTTCATCAACAAACGCACATGCACACAAAACCTCTGAGCTCATCTCTTACTCAGGGGTCTGGCACAAAACTGACCGCATCACACAGATATTTACAGCAATAGCTTGACGCTGTCGAAACCACCTGGAAAACAAATGCACATTCCGCATCGTTCTGTTCGTGCTCATTTCATACCGACACGGTTGCCGTATTGCATGTTGTTTAACTGTTTTAGTCTCTCTTTTCACTTTTCACCCTGACAATTACAATCTGTAAATTTGATGTTTGAGTAGTAGTACCACGGTGCTTCTGTAAATACTGTTGCCGCTCCTATAATGTAATGTAACACAAACCTTTGTTTTTAGTTTCAGCTCTAATGAGGTTGTTGGTCTAAACACTTAACCTAAAATTCAGGTAAAAGAAGCAGTAATCAGAATGCAAGGAATGTAGATAGGCCTACCCACTTGCCTTTCTGACTAAATAATTAACTGTAAATATGTGTTGCCTAATGATAATCTCACGAAAGTTAATAGGCTATCATGGAAATTCATAAAGTCAGTTATGCCCAGCTATAAAATACTTTAGCCTATTGGCTAGAAATTGCTCATCTCAACAAAATATTCCAGTAATTTCACTTTTGTTCTAATAAACAAGTGTGATATTGCTTAAATAAAATAGGCCAGTAAACAATAAATAATTGAGCAAACCTATTTAGTATACAACAGGTTTATACAAACAAAAAGTATTTTTAATTATTTTTCTATAGCAGAATAATATTCGTATTCAAAATTGGACATGAACGCCCTCTCAAGTCAAAATGTGAATGCGATGATGAGTTCGTAATGGGCTCTATGCACGGCGGTATAGGGATGCTCGATAACTTCCGCCGATCATAGAGTCCAATGCAATATCGAGAATTTATATTGAATTTTATACTCCATGGTTATACTAAAGAAACGTTAGTCACAAAAACAGATAAAACAGACACCCCTCGTTGTTTATGCTTCTTTTTAAAATTATATTAAATAATTATATATATATATATATATATATATATATATATATATAAAATTACATCTAAACGTATGTACGTTTCATTTCAAAGACTGGAGGGCAGTAAATTTAAAAGACTCTGCCATAATCCCGTTTTCCTCGGTTTTCCTCCGCTTTAATCTCCACAACCGGAAATGGACGAGCATCCTTGCGTCAAATGCGGAATTTATGCGTGCACTTCACAACTGGGAAGTAGGCCTACGAGATTTCTGAAAGAATGTGAAAGCAGCATAATTCATGTTTTTGAACGAATCTTTCAAATGAACGATTCACTTAACCGAATGAATTTAGTTAGTAACATTAGTTGTAAACGAATCATTTAAGAAAATGTCTCGCTCATCATTAAACATCATTTGTCGTCACCTACAGCGCGTTACTGATATTTAAGAAGAAAAGTGAAGTCACCACCACAACAAATCCGCCTTTCGCGAACTTTTAAACGCTGACAAACAAACGATGAACAGAACCAGCCGTTCAGCCAACCAAATTCGAGGACCGGAACTGACTGTTGTTGTTTGTGGCCTTTGTTTCCAAAATGTTCTGAAAAACATGGATATTCATTGATGCAGATGTATGACAACCACGTCCTTCCATGTCACGTTTCGAAGGTCTTATATGGTAATACATTTTACATTTGTTTTTGTTTTGCAGGAGAAAAAGTCAGCTTAGCTCATTTGTAGGTTAATGCTAACCAACGTCCCAGTTTAGTTTGTCACCTTCTGTTTTTTCTTTGTGGCCATTTGCAGGTGTTAATGGACTTCGTCACTCATCCATCAGAGAAATCGAACTCTTGTTTCACACCAATGCTCTGTGGGATTGCATCAACTTCATGTATGAAGAGATATTTCCACCTTGAAATCCGAGAAAGGAGAAAAAGGTAGGCCTATGTACTACAAATAATAGAATGGAAAAAGGTGTGAGTGTGTTTTCATGTGGCCCAGGACTGTATCTTGTCAGCGCCTTTTATCAGCTGATAAATTCAGTGCTATCAGTCTAAGCTAACTTGGAGACAAACAATATAAGCATGTGAGCAAGCTATGTAACCCATAGCCAGGGATGATCATGGAAAATCCATATTATCCATAATGCTGAAATTTCCTTGTATGAGCTGGTTTGGAAATTGAGTGACTCACTTATGTGTTTAATTTTTATTGAGAGATTATGTGTTTTAATAATTATATAACCATAATTAATATGACATTATAGTGAAGTGGGGGAATTAGTTTAGGCTAGTGTAGACAAAATTTGTTCATCACTTTGTGACTCATGTTTTGCCCTTTGAGGGCTGATATGAACCGTCACTCCATTCAGAGATTTCTCATTTTGGGCAGAGAGAGCGTGGCCTGCTGAAACTGGCAGAGGATTTTTCTGTTTCATCCAGTTGGTCGTGCAGAGAGAAATACGACTTTGAATAGGAAGTTGACCTGGAACACAGAGAATAACTTGGAGTTTTATTTGGATTTTATTATCCAATCAGCCATTGCTGGAGGCTTTTTTTAGGGCCAGTGAACGATAACCAACATATGGGGATCTGATGCGGATTGTAGCATTAAATTAGGCACACCAGGTGCAGATAGATAGACAAAGAAAGGAAGGATAAAAGGACATGTATATCAGTTTGAGATGTTTGTATCTACAGGCTTTTGTGAGTGATGTAAACCATTTTCTGGTTATTAACTGTACCACTCCACCCTTACCGCAGTCATTCTTTTCTTCTGTGGTTCACACAATGACTGTACATCACTATGGTGACTGAAGCATTAAATCTGTTGTGTGAAAGAGCTGATTACTTGACTTTAGTGGAATTTACTGAGAGGTTTTGTTGTATGTATGGTGCATGCAGCAGATAGGTGTGCTATCAAGCACAGATTTCTGTATGTCATTGTTAAAATTTGATTTAAAAATTTTGAAAAAGATTAACTAAAAAGATTAAAAAGGCAGCGTTGCCACCACAGGAATAAATTACATTTTAAAATAGAAATGTATCTGCAAAATATACATGCAAAAGTTATAAATAAAAAAATATATAACCTGTAACCGTTAAAATATCGCAATCTTGATTCAAACACACCTCACGATCTTATCCCTAAATGTGACTGGATTGACCTAAATGGATAGGTGACCTAAATGTGACTGCCAGAGAGAGCAGTTGTCATGTATATGATTGAAACAGATTCACAAGTATCATTAATGTTACAATAATTATAATTATCACAGAAGTACTGGGATAAAAGTTTATGTGTCAGAAAGAGTAAATTACCTTTTGAAAGCAACTCGATGCTTCCAATAAAGATATCATTTACATTGTCACACCAGTAGTGACTGTTAAAAATATATATGTGATTGAATCATTCAAGAGATTTGTGAAAAAACACAGATTCATCCAGTGATGAAACAAGTGAGTCATTGAATCATTCACTTACAAAAATATATTAATTCAAATTACTGGAGCAATCAACATTTTGTCAAAACCAAGTAAATGACATATAAGTTGTCTAATCAGAATTGTGGGTGAATCATGATCTCTATTAAAAAACAACAACATGAATGGTGCGGCTCTACTTGTATGTGCGTGCATGTCTGTATTTATGGTAATGGTTTTGGGGCCTGTTCAGGGAGAGGCTTTAGACCATCTAGTGTTGTAGCAACAAAGCCTGGAAGTGCTGTTTTCCTGGCTGTAAGTGGTCATGTTGATGTTCCAGCAGCTCTGCCTGTTGCATGTAAAGATAGAGTGCTGAATTATTCTTTTTCATTGTGTTTTGGAGCAATCATGACAGGTGTGTTCATGGCATGTATGAGTGCTGACACACAAGAAGGGTGTTGAGTTTGATTCGGATCCAGCAGTTTGGAAAAGCACAGTTCTCTCTAGCCGCTCTGGCTAAGATGAGGAGGCGTCTCTTGTTATTCATACTTATAACTGTCAAAAATAAAATTTGTTTGTGTGTGTGTGAGAGTATAAAAGTGCAATACTTAACCAGTCCTAATCATACTAGTACTCACACTCTCTGAAACACAAACTAGGCTATAATCATTACCAGCGTGCAGAGATGCTTGGTTGCCTCATTGCATGTTGTAAAATGTGATATAAACACCGAAAATCCTCTAAACCTGCGAGTTGAACAATTACGAATGTCCTTGCCAAAACTATTTATATGAATATTTTTACTGGTTTCTTGCTAAATCTCTTTTTCCACATTTGAATTGCTCTGCATACAAAGCATTTAAGTGCTGTGAAATGGTAATAAACCAGATAGCCAATCAATTGCAGGATTATTAGCATTGCAGAAGGTCAAATGTCATCTTACAGGGCGCTGTGAGCCTTACGGGCCTTAATGGGACCCTCAGTTCAGTTAAGCCACTGGCGGTCTTGGACCACTGACCTCAAGCTTATTTAAAGTCAGAGAGATGCATTCAAAAAAACAGCTGTGAGACAAAAACCAAAAGAGGGCAAAAAGAAAGGAGAGAGCTTTGAATCCACATGTGTTTGCATATAGACAGTGCATGTGAGATACATACTCAAACACTGAGTGCTGGGTTTGCCTCGAGTGGTAATGCAAAGCTTTCTTAGTTCATTTGGCCTAAAGAAAGAGTCTCACATAGAGCACGTTTTTGCTTTGAATAATGTTAGACACTTACAGTGGAGTGGAATAGGGAATAAACATAAGGTCTTTAAACTTTTAACTTGAGGTTATACCATATGTAAGACGCTGCATAAGATGCAAATGCAAAGGTCAAAGTTACTTTTAACTTGAGGTTCGCTTTTCTATAACATTGTGCCATACGCGAGACGCTGCGTAAGATGCAAATGCAAAGGTCAAAGTGCAAAAGCAATGGAAATGCAGTGCAATGTAACAGTGTTGTAGTACTCGAGACTCGGACTCGTCCCGGACTCGGTCTCGAGACCATATTTTAATGGTCTTGGTCTTGTCATGGACTCGTGTGCATTTCGACTCGGAATTGACTCGTACTCGAACATTTTTTTTTTAGGACTCAGACTTATTCCCGAGTCCACTCGAGTTCAATTCAAAATATTTTTCATGATTATTAATGTATGTTAATACAATATTTCTTTAAATTGATTGACACGCCCAGTGATTGGTGATTTTCTAGTGCGCAACTGTGCATGACAAATTGCAATAAAATTACTTTCAACACCACCTACTATGTGGCCTTTTTACCCTAAACTGATCATATTTTTTAAACTCAGTAAAAAAAAAAAAAAAAAAGGATTTCTCTAAGTAAATAAAAGTAAATTAGGTAATCAACCCTCACTGGTCTCGGTCTCGACTCGGACTCGACCGTCTCTGGTCTCGGACTCGACTCTCTATGGACTCGGTTTTGACTCGGACTCGACTCTCTCTGGTCTCGGTCTCGACTCGGACTCGAGTGAGGTGGTCTCGACTACAACACTGCAATGTAATACAAAAATGGGTTCTGTGTGAAAATTCCCTTAGAAATCTAATGCAGCATCATCGTTTGCAGACAAAAATTATAATCCCAGAATGCATTGCAACCAACAATATCTCCCCTAGTGGCTAAGTGTCTCTCTAAAATATAAAATATTTTTCTTTATTTTGAATTTAGATGTAGATATGGGCTTATTGTCCACAATATTATTTTGTGTTAAATCTACTTCCATGTAATATTTCTGCCTTCAATTGCCAGACATTCAATTCAAATTTATTTGTATAGCGCTTTTCACAATACGTATTGTTTCAAAGCAGCTTTACAGAAAGTGCATTTCAGAAATGTACAAGGAAAAATACATTTAGCTAATCATGTAATAATGTAGGGCGTAACATATCGCTCTTTACAGCCGTTGAGCCTCGAACAACATCAGGAAGGCTATTCCAGAGTTTTGGAGCTAAATGCGAGAATGGCCTTCTTTAGTAGACTTAGGCCCCGTCCACACTACTGCGTTTTCGTTTAAAAACGGAGAATTAAAACGAATACGATCTCCGTCCACACCAGAGTTTTATCTGCGTATTAGAAACGATCTCCGTCCACATTAAAACAACTGAAAACGCGGATCACGTGACCATTCACCAACACTGGGCATGCGCGTGCCGGTGTAAACAGTGAATGACGAATCAGGGAAGGAAACATCATGACTGATAACACACAATCATAGAGCCTCTGCGTCAGCGTTTCTGAAGTTCACCATTTTGTCTCGTCCACACTAAAACGCCCTCCGGATATTCAAAACGCACAGCGTTTCTAAACTTCTCCATTTTAGGTCTTCGTTTTTCCCGTTTTAGTGTGGACGGGAGGTGCAAACGTAGCAAAAGGTCTCCGTTTTTAAACGAAAACGCAGTAGTGTGGACGGGGCCTCAGATATCCTAGGAATGACCAGAAGCCTTGAATTTAGTGATTTTAAAGAGCGCGATGGATTGTAGGGCGTTAGAAGGTCCATTAAGTACACAGGAGCTAGACCATTTAGGGCTTTATAGGTCACTATTACTTTGTAATTAATACGGAACTTAATAAGACATGTTGTAGAAATGAACAAACGGTCTCCAAGACTGCATTAAGCAACAAAGCAAAACTGAAGCTCCCCAACAGAACGGAGCTATTGTGTGTGTGTGTGTGTGTTTGTGAGAGCAGCCACATGAGTGGGTTAGCATAGCTCTCGGAAGAACAGCTGCTTATTCCAGCTGTCTGTCACACATGTGCAATGACTCACACACTCATGGGTGGATGTTTTCATCTTCAAAATACCTTTACAGTCTTCCCACATACACATCACCACCACTTTAAACGACAACCAGCCCACAGTGGAGGAAAGCTGGTGTGTTCAAAACTGTACTTTTTCCACAGAAAGTGAAGAGCTTTCAGGGCTGTTATGGCAATAAATAAAAAAAACCCTGATTCAGCAGC